TGTACTGTGTACTGTCATAGTTTGTTATAGTTATGTTATATGTCACGATAGATGGCAGCACTGGTCCGAGAGTGATGCACGGTGGTTCTGCAGGAGTAAACATACTTGTCACATACTCTACGAGTTCTTTATCTAATTGCGTATCCGTAGTACGAAACTACGACACCCTATATAAATGTCAGGATGTAATGTTAATTTGAAACATCCTTGCTGTGTATGTGCAAGGTCATGCAAATCGAACCAAAATGCAATATACTGTGACAGTTGTAATAACTGGTGCCACATCAAGTGTACTCAACTGAACCAAAATCAATTCATTAAATTGTCGCTTTCATCGGAAAGTTTCCTCTGTCAGCCATGTATTAATAACATATTACCATTCCAGTCAGTTGAAGAAGATGATCTAATCGATCTCTTCTATCCACTGAATTCCTTTGACTATAGTAATATTACCCATTTGCCATCTCTCTTGGATACTAATTATCCAGTAGATAAAAATGAAGACCTAGATTTAGATAACTACATTCATCAAACCCAATCCGAATATCTTCACTTACACTCCTTTTCGGAACAAATCTGCTCTGAAAACACTAATAATTTGATTATATTTCATTGTAACATACGGAGTCTGTCCAAAAACTTGTACCGAATTGAAGATCTCTTAGACCAATTACCAAATACTCCTGATATTATTGCTGTCTCAGAAACCAAACTGAATGAATTGTCAAGTACCAATATCGATATAGCGAACTATACTTTTATTAGGAATGATTCTGGTACAAAGGCTGGTGGAGTTGGGCTTTATATAAAAAACAATATGAGATTTAAGATACGTAATGATCTCAAATTAGAAGACTCAAATACTGAGTCACTATGGGTGGAATTAGTAATCCAAAAAAAAGGTAAAAATCCGGTAATGGGGGTAATCTATCGTCACCCGAACTATAAAATTGACCTATTCGAGCAGTCACTAAACCTGATTTTACAAAAAATTAATTCTGCTAAATTGACTGCATACATATGCGGGGACATAAATATAGATTTGTTGAAATCAGACCGTCATACTGGTACATCTGATTATTTAAATGCTATTTACTCAAATTCCTTTATGCCATTAATTATGAAGCCAACGCGACTTACCGATTCTTCACAAACTTTAATTGATCATTTTTATACAAATAATTTATGTTCCAGAATTATTCCTGGCATCCTCTTATATGATATGTCGGATCATCTACCTATATTTATCAGTATTCCTCTTAAGGAAAGAGTAAACTTCATAAAAAAAATTTGGAAACGAGATTTAAGAGACTTTCAAGTGGATAGGTTTATCGATGATGTTACACAAAGACTTCACCGAGATACTATCACTGATGATATCAGTGAAATTAATCCACATCATTCTATGGAAACAGTAGTTACAGCTTTATCAACTTCCTTAAATAAATCTGCTCCACTGAAACCTCTATCGAGGAAATTCAAAAAAAGACTTAGGAAACCTTGGATCACTGCTGGAATCTTAAAATCGATCAACACTAAACATAAGATGTTTAGAACACATTTCTTATCTGATTCTGTTATTTCGAAAAGTATTTATAAGATATTTCTTAATAAATTAACACACATCAGAGAAATTGCAAAAAAGAACTATTTTAAGGAACTTTTACTCTCTCATAAAAACAATATGAAACAAACATGGCTAACAATAAATGACATAGTTCGGATTAAATCGAGATCTTCTACACTACCTGATACAGTTAATCAGGATACTTGCAATACATTTAATAGTTTTTTCCAAAAGATAGGTCCCTCTATGGCGGAAAAAATTCCTCCTACGGGTTCCAATTTTAATGACTTTTTAACCCATTCCAACCAAAAATCCTTATTTCTTCTTCCCACTACTTCAGATGAAATTATAACGATAATAAATAACCTGGACCCTAAAAAGGGAGACGGTCCAGACAAAATTCCAATAAAATTTTTGAAATTGTGTTCCAATGTTCTGTCCACATATTTAACCCAAATTTTTAATGCTTGTTTCTATCAAGGTGTATTTCCACAATGTTTAAAGAAGTCAAAAATCCTTCCTTTGTATAAGGATGGATGTTTAAATGTACCCTCAAACTATAGGCCAATATCGTTATTATCTCCATTCTCCAAAATTTTAGAAAAATTAATATATAAACGTATGTATGCG